GCGCGCTTCCCCGCCGCCGCCGCCTCACGGGTTCTCCCTCTCCCCCCTCAGGGACCTTCGACAGCGGGTACGGCACGGTGGGCAGCTCGGGGCCTGTGGGCGGCTACACGCAGTCCCCGGGCGGCTTCGGCTCCCCCGCCGGCACTCAGGCGGAGAGGAAGCAGGTAGGGCGGGAGCGGGGCCTCGGGCGGCCCCGGGGCGCTGGGCCGCAGCGGCCGGAGGAGCGGGGAGAGGGGCAGCCGCTGCCCGGCAGCCACTGACGGCCCCGCCGTTCCTTGCAGAGAATCCGCTCCCAGAACATCGTGCCCTGCACCGTGTCGCAGTTGCTGGCCGCCGAGCAGGTCGACGAGACCTTCCGGATCCGCGACGTGGAGATCTCGCAGGTGGGCGGCGGGGGAAAGCGGCGAGCGGGGGGGCTGCAGGTCAAACGGACTCGTTTCCCGGGGCCTTCCCGGATAAACTCTTCCCTCTTCCAACGCAGGTCACCATTATGGGGATCATACGGCACGCTGAGAAAGCACCGACGAACATTCTCTACAAAGTGGATGACATGACAGCAGCCCCGATGGACGTCAGGCAGTGGGTTGATACTGATGTAAGCATCAGATTCGTTATGGACACGCTTCTTTAAAAGCTTTTCAGAGCAGTGAAGAGAGAAAAGTTACAGAATAGTAGAATATGTCAAGTTGCAAGGGACCCATAAGGATCATCAAATCCAACTCCCTGCTTCTCGCGGGACTTTTTTATCAAAAAGATGTGGCTTTTCTGAAAAGCATTTTAGGGATAACAACTCTCAGAAATCCAAGGGAGATGCTGCTGTAGCAGAGATCACTGGTGCTGTACGTGACTCATCTCCTGTTTTGTAATTCATGTACAATTCTACGTTGAATCACTTTGTATAATTTTTTAGAGTTTAGCTGCTGAAGCTCAAACGTTACTTCATAGCTGAACTGGGCCATGCATGCTCTACTTCTGTGTAGAAAGTCAAGGAGAGAAAGTGAACAGAGATATTTTATGTGGCTCTGTGATTGAGATGAAGACATGTACCAATGAATGTTGTCTGGTTTTCTGATGCATGACTCCTGAAGTGCTGATAACTTCCACTAAACTCTTGCTGGTATAACAGGCCTTTAAAGCTAGCCCATGTTACTGTGACATATATTTGAAGGCTAACAGCTGAGTTCAGCTGAAGAACTTCGGGAGAGTAATTAGGCAGACATTCAGTTGGCTTAACTGCAAGTTTATCGTAACTATGCCAAGTTGTGTAGTTGAACACCTGCTTTTTTACTATTTGAGGGTTCTTTCCTCTTGTGAAAATCTGGGAAGTGGACAGAGACAGCAGAGCAGACAACTGGCTTTGACTGCTGTCAAGTCTAGAGTGTGTTCAAATGAGCAAATATTTTTTTCTCTATTTTTCATTTATGGTTATGTTTACCTAACTGCTCTTACTGGACATAGGAATGCATGCGGTTTGTGTTTGCTTGAGATAAGCCTCCTTTCCTAAGTCATTTATTGTGATAATTGAGAAATGGAAACATGAATCAGCAAAACCTTCCTTTCTCTTTTTTCTCTCTGTTAGGAGGCAGGTGGCGAGAATGTTGTGGTACCTCCAGGAACTTACGTAAAAGTAGCTGGTCATCTTCGGTCTTTCCAGGTAAGATCATGTTACCCATATCTGACTCCAAGTCATGAGGCTGGAGCAGTGGCATGAAGGATTGGTGATCTGGCACAGTGTTAGGGGGCTCCCTTTAGAATATCCACTTGATCATGGTCTTTGCTCATCCTTTCCTGTGGACAAATCCTTGAATGTTTTTGCCAGGGCTGTATTTAATAACACTTTAATTGTTTCTAAATGCAAAGGACAGAGGACCCATTTAAAATGCCACTCTTCATCAATTTGTTGTTTTCAGCGGAACAGAGCACTGGCCACCAGGTTCTTGGGTGCACTGTAGAGCTTAGACTAGGTTCTGGTTAATGGGGATGCTTCTTGTAACATATTATGTGATGTGGTTGCCTCATAACTAAATATTGTAACTAAATATATGAGTAAGTATTTAAACAATAGTGCATGCGTTAAAGCAAAGTGCAATTAATTACCAGCGGGTTAGAAAGAGAAGTTACCTTGTCTGCATTGTCTTGCAAAATCACATATGAAAATGTAAGTCAGAAAATTTTGGACTAGTTACATGCAGACAAGCTCCCTACCCACCACTGTCCCTGTTCCTGGAGAGAATAGTTGCATTGGCTGTTAAGCATGTTCTGGTTGCTGTGATGTTAATTTTTTTTTCTTTGCTTTTTTTTTTCTTCTCTGAAAGAATAAGAAAAGCTTGGTGGCATTTAAGATAATGCCTCTGGAAAATATGAATGAGTTCACCACACACATACTAGAGATTGTCAATGCACATATGATCCTCAGAAAAAATCTTATGGTATGTACTTGAAGATCCCGATTCCGTCTTGGCCCTTACTGGGTTACTGGTTATCTCCCAGAGAGAGGGAGATAAGATAACTCTTGGTTCGCTGGGGAAATTGTATACCAGTTGTGGGGCTGGAAAGCTTGAAGCTGTTGCAGTGCTACAGTGAAGGTGTAACAGGAGTCCTGGCTTCCTTGGAGACAGATTTGTGTTGCAGTCCATTTCCAGCAGTTTCTTTTGGAAATCTATTTTTAATTACTGTCTCTCTGAAATAACACCAAGTCTTTAATGTTGTGGGTTCATGGCAGCCTGTATAACCACAGCAGTTTTACTCTCATAATTTCAGTCAGCATCAAGAGTGCCTCAGTCATTCTCCTCCGCTGGGATAGGTGATGTGGGGGGCTATGGAGGAGGTGGAAGCCTACCAGTGAATGGACTCACAGCGCATCAGAGTCAGGTACGTGCAAGCAGCTTCTCCAGGAACACCGCAGTCACAAGAGGGGCTGCTGTGGCATGATGTAGGACAAAGAAATGCAAGCTCGGTTACTCTTTGAAGTTGAATAGTTCTTCCTCAACCTTGTCACTGATAGAGAAGCTCAGCTGTGTGCTAATGGTGGTTCTTGCTTTTCCAGGTGCTGAACTTGATTAAAAACTGCCCTGTCCCAGAAGGTATGAGTCTTCAGGAGTTGAAACTTCAGCTCCACAATATGAGCATGTCAACAATCAAGTAAGTGTGTAGAAACAAAGGATGTTCCGGAAATCCAGGCAGTCCTTCCTGGAGTCTGATAAAAGGAGGCAGAGAGGAAAATAGTGGGCAAACCCAGATCCTTACTTGTGAAAGAGCACTAGTAATTTCAGATGTTCAGTAGCAAACTAATAGCTACCTGGGAGTCCTGCAGTGCCTCAGCAGTATTTTCTCCTGTTCAGGGACTACCTTGCTCTCTGCACACCAATCAAAACTTGGGAATAGACCGTTTCTGTTCTCTTCTTTGCTGTCTCTTAGAATTTCTCCTCCCTGAGACTTAGAAAAATAGTGAAGCCTAAAGACAGTAATGAACGTCCATTATATTTCTGTGTTCTGTCCCCTTTGAAGCAGAGTTGTAGGTACTGCTTTTACCTGGGAAGTACTGAGAGTGGTGGCCTTCCCCTCTGTGGCAGTCAAAGTCTAAGAGATGCTGGGGGAGCATATTGCCCTAGCTTTGGAGAAGCTTTCTGAACCTACTGACTGGTGCAGCAGCATTTAAACTGCTCATAGGATAGAGCCAACCAGAGCTTCCCTTGGCAGATGCCACAAGGGAACAGTAGGGATGGGGTCTGTAGGTGGGAAATCGCTGAAAGGTGTTGATATGAACTAGTTAACAATTGCTTTTTTTTTTTTCTTCAAAGGCAAGCCGTTGAATTCCTTAGCAGTGAGGGACACATCTATTCCACTGTGGATGATGATCACTATAAGTCGACCGATGCTGAGTGAAGTTACTTCCAGCTGGATTTAGTTCTAAGCAAATGCTTGTCCATGTATCAAGTTATCCTGCGGAGCTTTGTGACGTGGAAGGTGATCTTTACTTTTTCTAGCCTCTGAAAGTCCCAGTTACTGTGTGAGTGCCTCCTTGTAATTCAAGGACAAGCAGAACGTATACGATTCTGTTAACTGGACTCGATTATATGCTGTGACCATGGGACTGAGAGGATAAAGAGACGTGGGAAAACTGAACTCCTCAAAGCTTCAGAGCCTTCAGTTTGTTTTTGTCTCCTTAGAGGATGCCTGTGTTAGAAAGAGGTTCTTCTTTCTAATCTTGTCCTGGGCAGATTGTCTTTTGTTTCTAGAGCTGTATCTCCTAACTCAGTTTTCATTCCATTTCATTCACTAAGTGGGTAGCCAAGAGTAATATTCCACTAATGTACAGTAATCATGAATAGATTTTTAATTGGTTTAGTTTATACTATGAGGTGATCTTGTTACTACAACTTTTGAGTGTTTCCAATAAAATTTTCACTTGGGTAGTCTTGCATGCGTGTGTGGCTCTAGAGGCTTTTCTTCCCTAAAAAAGAAAAGCATTTGTGTTGACAAAACTTAGCCATGTGGGTAAAAACACAGCTCATGCTTTCAGATTTTCTTTAACCATACTTATTTTTTCCTTAGCTTTTGAAGTAAATTGCTTTAAAAGGTCAAACTGAGGCAAATGTGTGGAAACTAAGAAATTAAATAATGGTACTACTGAAGAAAGCTACACATTGTATCAGTGTTCCAAATATAGCCAGGATCATTTCTACCACCAGAAGTACTTCAGCTGAAGCTCTAATTAATTACGTCACATGGAACAAGTTTTTCTTCTTTAAACTATTTTTAAAGCATAACAGAGAAAAACGCTAAGTTATGAAACAGCAGGGCTGATATTGGTGATGTATTGGGGTGGAGATAACAGGTTTTCATTTCCTGTTTCTCTGCACAATCCTGCCTTGTTCAGGAAGGCAGTGTGCTGAGGGCAGCTGCTTCAGCATATTTCTGTCCTCTTAGTCATGATATGCTTCCTGTTCTATAAAATGCAAAGCTGAAAACTACCTTCTGCAAATTGTTTTGCATTTGTTAATGGGAGCACTTCAGGAGTTCATAAATATTCAGGAGCATTTTTCACCGTGACGGCGTGTAGCTGTTCTCACAGGAGGAACTTTTGTGGTGAATGCGTTGCTGAAAAGCAGGACGCTGGGATCTTTCAAGCTGAACGCTGAGAGACTGAAATCTGCTTGCTGCCCACCAGATGGGAGCCTGGTTTGCTGTGCCGCGCTGACCTGTCCTTTGATTGCTGCTTGCCAAGTTCCCAGGGGCACACGGCTTGCTGGAAAAACAGCACATGCAGCCAGGGCTGATGCCGGTGGGTTCATGGGCTGGTCAACTCCAGCTGCCATGGGAGCTGCAGGTTGTGGGGCTTTTGTTACCTGGGACTGGTGAAGTGACCTGGCTTTGAAAAAGCAGTTCTTCCCTGTATGCACATCTATGGGGCTGGCTGCTGGACACAAGGTGTCTACTTCTGGCATTCATGCTGGGGCAAACCCCACTGTCCTGCTCAGGTTCAGAGAGTGGCACAGCTGTAGCCCACAGTGCACTTCTGGGGCTAAAATGTGCTATAGATAGATGTATAACAGGTCAGCTTCCAGGCTTTGGAATCCAGCAGATCTAGAAGCCAAAACCACTGTCATTTCCCTTTTGCAGGAATTATGCAGGTTAGGAAGAAAATCCCTGATTTTTGGAAGTCAAGGTGAATGGAATTGCTTGCAGTAAAGAGAGTAGTTGTGTGACTGGGCAAAACACTTGTGATGCGACTGGAGAGGAAAAAATCATCAGCTGGGGAGGGAGTTGAAGTCTTTGCCTGGTCTCTGCTTGCTGTTTGATATTCAAAGCATCCAGGAGCATCTGCTGTTGTCCAGGTAGAGGGACAATTTGGAATAGTTCTTAGGGGACAGAAGCATTGGCTGCTTCACAGAAAGTCTGCATTTAAAACTGTCTGTGAACTAACGGTGAAATCCAAACTCGGAATGCTTTTGGCTCAAATAAAGGAGACAAAAACACTTGGGCATTTTCAGTTCTGGTTTCTTCTATGCTCTGCTCCCCTCCTCCTCCCTGGAGCCCATCTTCTCCCCAGCCATAGTCCAGCAGTTAGTTTTTTCCCTAGGAGAAGGAAAAACTGGACTCCGGTGTGACTTAAACACCTGTTGGCCCCTGCCACTGGGGTGGGTCTCTTGGCTGAAGCCATGAAGACAGGTGGAGAGAGTTGGGGTTGTTTAGCCTGGAGAATAGAAGGCTCCAGGGAGACACTATTGCGGCCTTTAAATACTTAAAGGGGGCCTCTGTGGAAGATGGAGATATGTTTTACCAGGGCCTATAATGACAGCACAAGGGACGACGGTTTTAAACTGAAAGAGGGTAGGTTTAGATTAGACATAAGGAGCATGTTTTTTACAATGAGGGTCGTGAGGCACTGGAACAGGTTGCTCAGAGGGGTTGTAGATGCCCCATCCCTCCAAGTGTTCATGGTCAGGTTGGACGGGGCTTTGAGGAACCTGGTCTAGTGGCAGGAGTTGGACCAGATGATCTTTAAAGGTCCCTTCCAACCCAAACCATCCTGTGATTCTCTGATCCTATGCTTCGGGTGCCATTAATGAGTGGCTAGTGCCTGTTTGCAGATGAGAGCTGGGTTCTCCCTCCTTGGGTAAGTATTCATTGAAAGGACCTCAACAGCAATAGTCAGTGTCTCTCCCACAATGTTGATTTGAGGACAGCATGCTGATATGGAGTGTAAATCCCAGGGCAGAACCAAAGCCAGAGAAGGAAAGCAGCCCAAACCCAAGGTAGGACTCGAGCCAAGTTCGAATGAATGAGACCCTCTCTGCAGCTTTGGGACTCTGCCCTAGGCACTGAGTGAGGAATAACATGAACTGAAAAACTGAACCCAAAGCTACTCTTCACTGGGAGAGGGGGGGGAAAAAAAACGGGTTTGATCTTAAATGAAATTTAAAATTTATTTTCCAGCTCTGATTTGAAAGAGGAGTGCAGTGTGTGATGCAGGATTGAAATGCCTGCTCGCTTTCGGTGTAAAGCTCTCCCCTTGTCAGCTCTCTTCCCTTAACGCACATCAGGACTATGAAGTCTTTGCCTCTGCCGCTTTCCTGGGGCTTTGCCAAACTTCCAGGAAAAGAAGAGATGAACTTTGGTCCTTATTTGGTTTTCAGGTCATTTTTTTGCATCCAATGCCATGAGTGCAGCAGGGGCCTTTGTAGGTGTCAAGAATCTGCAAGACTGCAATGAGCATGCTCGCAAGCAGGAGGGGACAGTGAAGGTCTAGGACAGACATTGCTTCCAGATGCAAGTGGATGAGCAAAAATGGATGAGCAAACCAGCAAAACCTAAAGCCACAACGTTTTTACAATGTTTCTACAACCTTGGTAAGAAATTAGGCTAGAGTGAGATGCATGTTTGGCCGTACTTGAGAAAAATGCAGCTTCTGCCTCATGAAAGCGCGTTTCTGACATGCAGTTGTAACAACATGTCACTCCATGGTTTGAGCCCCAGCTGGGGCATAGCTTGCACTCTGTGAAGTATGTTGTCATGTCTCCTCCTAACCCCATCCCACACCATGTGCCAACAGTGTCTGGACATGCTTGGCCTCAAAGCATCTCCATCTGGAAGCATCCATAATCCCAGCCCAGACACCATGGCAACACAGTGGAGCTCAGTGAGCTCTGTGTCCCGGGGCCTGGGCTGGCATCTCTGTGGCATCTTGGTGGCCACCCAGCTGTATGCTGGTCTGGTGCTGTCAGAGAGTCCCACAGGTGACAGCTGAGGATGCAGCCCACAACACAACTCGGGGGTTTATTCTGTGCCCGGGGCTGCCCTGATGGCATACACGCTGCTTGCCTTTAAGGAAAGCGGGAACCTTTCTGCAGGATCGAGGCAGTTAGTTGGAGGTTGCGCTGTGGATCCCTAGGGCTGTATTTAGCCTCTGCAAGCAACCAATGTCATGTAAGGTCTCAGAGTATTTGGAGGCTGGGTGTCTTCCAGGAACTAAAGGACTAGAAAGGAAAAATTGCCTTCATTTTGCAAATTGTCTTTTGAATGTTGTCATCAACAGTTTCGTAATCATGTTCCGTGCTGTTGCTGTCCGTGCCTGGAAGGGAAGAGAGCACAGCCTGCAGACACACACTGCCACGGACCATGGCAGAAACCCCGTGCCCTGACCTGCTCTCCTCACCTCCCTGCTCTGAGCTGCGCCTGGATGGGGCGGGGCCCCAGTGGTGGCAGCTGCTTTGCCCCCACAGACACCAGCCTCTGGGGCCACGGGTCCCCTGCGATCTGGGGGGGGGTGGGGATGGGAAGGCGTTCCATGGCAGATGGAGGCCAAGGTCTTGTCAGTGGCGCTCACTGTACCATCGCCCTCAAGGTCAAGCCTTGCTTCTCCTGGTGTGTGGGACAAGGGGTTTGGGCGGCCTCCTCATGGATTCCCCCCTCCATGTGTGGGACAAGGAGATGGGGCAGACCGGACCCCAACCTGTGGGATGCAGGGGTGTGGCGATTGCCTGTGGGTCCCCCCCCCCTGCATCTGTGACAAGGGGATGGGGAGGTGCAGCCCCCATGGGGGCCCAGCTGGCTGGGGTGTGGACTTCCCCAGCTGAGCATCCCTGCCCCGCATCCCTGTGAGGACAGCCCCGGGGAGGGGGTGCCCAGCAGCACCCCCAGTTATGCTCAACCCGCTGACACTGCCGGGGGGCCCCATCCTCCCGCCTGGGCAGCCTGTCTCTGGGCTGAGCCCTGTGGAGGGGTCGGGGCCTGGGAGGCGCCGGGGGCCTCACCTGCATCCCTGGGAGGTCCCCGCCGGCCATGCTGGCGGGGGGTGCTCAGTCGGGGCGACGCAGGGAGCGGCGGCAGTGGAGGAGCTGGGCGGATGCTCACTGGCAGGGGGCCAGGGGCCGAAGGGCCGGGGGCCGACGGGCGCCTTCCCCCAGGGCCCGTCCCTGCCTGCGTTGGCTTGGGGGGCCGTGGGGGTGGCGGGGCCGTGCTGCCGGGCAGCTGGGCCAGCAGCTGGTAGTAGAAGGCCTCAGTCAGCTCCTCCACCCGGGACCAGCGGGTGCAGGGGACCGGGGGGCGGATGGGCCCCTCGCTCAGCAGGAGGGAGAAGTCCAGCCAGCGCGGTGGGATCTCAAAGCCCTCCTCTGGCTCCTGACAGAAGCTGCCCACCAGGAAGGGCTGGTTCAGGCGGGCCTCCAGCCGCAGGGCGGGCAGGGCGCCCAGGGCATCCCGCTCCAGCCCCGGGTCGGAGGCCACCACCCGGACCTCGCAGGGCAGCACCTGCCGCTCCAGCAGCTCTGCCAGCCCATACTTCTTGCTGTCACACATCTCCTCCACGAAGCCACCCCCCAGGTCCAGCGGCAGCAGCAGCTCCCTGCCTTCCTCTTCCTCCTCGCCGTGGCGGTGGCAGAGCAGCCGGGTGCTGGGGCCATTCCCCTGCAGCCTCGGGGGCTCCAGCCGGTCGCCCACGCCGAGCG